ACCTGGAATGAAATAACCAAGAGAAAATCATCGGATACCCACCAGTTGCTTGTCAAAGGTAATATATAAAGCATTGATTCCATCCATCCATCCATCCTTCCATCCAATATTTTTTAAACTTTTTGATCTTGATCTTAATGGTAACCTTGACTATAAAAACATCATCAGTTCTTCAAAAGTTTGTTCCTGAATATCTTTTCTGTCAACTAAACCAAGGAGATTTATTGTAATATGATAATACAACAGTGATTTGAAAGATACAATGTCTCTTTACAACCACATAAATCTCCCACATCATGCATTACAAATATAAGGCATTAAAAAGTTTTTTTTGTGGTTAGCTAAAGATGCGGGATTGTCTCCCGGTGCCATCGCTGGAATAGTAATCGCATGTTTAGTCATCCTGGTAGCTGCAGGTGGAGGGGTGTACTTCTATAAAAAAAAGTAAGTATGAAATTGTAAAGATTTGTTTAAATTTAAATTATTATTACTTTTTTAGTCATTGCTGGATATCAAGTATAAATCTGTTGTTGAATTTTCAATTGTCCCTTTTATGACTGTGCAGTTCTCCATTACAAAGCAATTGTTCTGCAAAAGGATCAACTGGCTATTAATGTTATATTGCTGTAATTTCTGTCAAGAAATCTCTGCCCTTTGAATAACAATTTTTAACTCTACACAGTGGAAAAAAGTCTTCAAACTCAAACACTGTCATCACAACAGGTACATTTACTTTGCTGCAAATGCTTATATTTTTCTAATGTTATCAACCCAATTATACGCACCCCTTACTTTAAGAGTAAACTATCTCAATAGTTTTTTAATTACATATTAAATGCATTTAATAATCAAAGTATTTAATTCAAAATGACTGACTCTGTGAAGTTCATTTTTACTTTAAACAACTCAGGAATGATTTGTTACTCATCTTACCATGAACATTTTAAGACAGGCTTGTGTTTGTTTTTGTCTAGGAAATGAGCCTGTGTATGAGAATAATGGAGAGTTTAATTAAAGGAAATATAAAGCTGATGAAGCTTTAAAGGTGAGTTTGGAACACAAACGTAATATTCCTCCCTTACAAAGTTATTTTGACTTTAAAAACTAAAACTAAAAGGTGACTATTTGTTGACCACTGACCATGTGACTCTAATCACTGATCATTTTTATGCTTCTTTCTTTTTCAGCTGGAGCAAAACAATTAGACTTCATAACCAGCGAAAGAAAAAAAAATACAGCGCTCTTATTTTTCACTTATACTTTATTTTAATTATAGATCTTGTTTCTGTGATTTTGACTTTTTTAAAACCTCTTTATAGTTATTTTAATGAAGTTTCACACACTTTGCAAAGTGTTCATAAAAATCATTAATTCAATATGAATAAAGCATTTAGGATTTTTTTTATTGTATTTAATAATGTACTAAATTCAAATGTTGTTATTAAAAGATTTAAAATAATCCCTGAACCCTTTGCCTTTTATATTATCTATAAATCAGTATGAATATACTGTTTAGAAATGGAACCTCTGCTTTTTAAATCCTTATATAAAACTGCTCCACAACTGACTGAGCACACTTTGGTTTGGTCAACACATTACTGTGATATGATTAGTTATTCATTCTTTGTCTTCCTGTTTTTTTTCCCTTTTATTTTCGGGAAACAAACATGAACTTTTCTTCTCAGTGATGTCACACTGGACTCAAGTCAGTGCAGGAACATGTCTAAGCGCATATTTACCACTTGGTGGTGCTGGTTTCGTGATCTTTGAACTGAAGGAAAATATAGAAAAAGTGTGATATTAAAACCTTACACATGGGTTTCTATATCTACCATATCTATGTCGGATTAAGGTCAGAGTCAAACATTGCCGTGCATGAAAATTCAGAAATACATATTCTTTACTCAACTTTGCATTTTTCCTCAGCCAATGGCTCAATGTTAGGTTTATTTCCTTAGTACAGTTGTGAGTTTCAATGTATCATTCCCAGCAGCTCTGATCTGAAGTAGCAGTCTCTCCTAAAAATAGAACACATTAACAGGACTACAATGAATAAATTAAAACTCTGTACACTAGATTGTCTGTTGTTGTCAAAGCACTGCAAATGTCTGATTGTCCAAGACCCATCAACACATGTATGAAACATTATTTTTCACTTAACCAGTTTCTGGTTTTCATCCTGTGCCTGCAGGAAGAAGAAACACAATTACTATAGTATTGAGCTGTTTGTGAACTTAAACTTGCAATCATGGTCTGATTTGTGAAAAAACCATGTCTAAGCTTTGACAACTAGATAAGGGTTAATGTGTGAGACAAACTTTGAATTATGGCTGAAGGGGCGACTATTACATATGCAATAAGCAATCATTTTAGTCACATATTTCCAGATATTTGCATCTGGATATTTTTGGATGCAAATATCCAGATGCCCCTCTGCTCTATTTAAATTATTTTAAACGAGAAATCTGACAACGAAAGAATAAATACATTTCTATTATGACATTATCTCATGTAAGGGTTCTGCTAATCTGTACTAAATACACAGTTTCTGGGAAGGCCAGAGTACCCAGAGAAAACCAATGCTGACACAGGAAAAACATGCAAACTCCACACAGAAAGGTCCCAGTTCCACAGAGACTCAAACCGGGAACCCTTTTCCTGTGAGGTACGGGATGCTAACCACCACACCACCGTGCCGCCCGGTACAAAATTATGATAAGTGATTTTATTTCTTACAATTTTCTGAATTTCTATTTTGTGACATAAAACCTCAGTGGGAGGTTTAGCAGTTTATCTGTATCAGTGACATTCTGCATTCTATATTACATTTTGAATCTTCCATTATACGTTACAACCTGGCCCCAGAAAACATCATCATGTCTGAATTCTATGATGTCACAAGTCAGTCTGTTATGAGCTCTTTCTTTGTTCAGCCAGCACTCAATGAGCCATACTGACTAACATCAGGCCCCACAATTAAATGTTGAAAATAGTGTTCCTATTTACAATGTTGAGTTCCCCTTACAAAAGCGCATTATTACAAGAGGCCACAAAGAGGAAGCTCATCAAATATTGTGAAGGATGTGTCCCTTTCTGTACTGTACAGTTACAGGACATTTTGTCAAAGCCTCTTTTTTTTAGTACCCTTTTTTTTTGTATAAATTGATTGACTAAAAACAACTGCAAATGAATAAGCTTTCTTTCAGATGTTTTTTAATTTGTTTTTTGAGTCAGTTTGGAGGCTCTACAGCCAGTGATCTGTTTGTAAAGCTGTCTGAGGTAGGCCGGGTGTCTCCTAGGTATCTTTGATCCTCCTTTTCTAGGAATGCTATGGCTTAGTGCAGCTTCTCAAACATCACCCTAAAGGAGAGCTAAAAAATCCATTTACTGAAGAGCTCATAAAACTGATGCAAACTCCATCACCAACATGACTCAGACCTGACCTTCACAAGTTAACACAAGCAGTACATTTAAATTCATTCAGTTTCTCTTATGTCTCTTATGTTATTATTGATGGTTGTTTCTCATCAAGTGTCTTTATACTGAGAGAATAGATAGTGTTTTTGGCTGCTAAAACCTTATAGATATTTTAAAAAATCAATCATTCTCGGTGCAAGTACTTATTTCTTGTCATAGACCATTTGTATTTATAAAGAGGAACATATCTCGGTTAATATTTTTATAGTGGTTATAATATTCAGGGTAAGTTATCATAAAAAGCTGATTTTTATAGGTACATTTTTTTCCCTAATGTTTTTTCTTGAGTTATTCACTTTTCTTTTTACGGTCAGAAATTCTAAACCTGAATTTGATGGAAAAGGAGCCAGGGACCGCTTGTCTGATCAAAGCACTTTTCTACAAAAACTCTAACAGCCTGGGTGCAGGTTAGTCGAAACCATACATACCTGGAGGCAGAGCGGTGTGTGTGCACAGACACAGCAAACACTTTTTTAGTGGGGGGCTGGAGTTGGTCTGGGGGTTTGGTTGTGGACCATAAAAGAGCAGAGGCATTTGTGACTTTGATTTTGAAGAAGACTTTGAGACAACCGTGGAAGAAGCCAGTGTGCAGCATGGACAGAATCCTCCTTTCAACTGCTCTGGTGCTTCTCCTATTAGGTAAATTCAGCTGATACTCTGTTAGAAAGCGAGTCTTGTTACGTTTGTGTTTTTGTTTTTATTTTAAATGTACTCAATTATTTGATTTTTTTGGCATTCCTGGTGCTCTGGATCCCAGTGACCAAATCGTTTGAAATGTTTTCTCTTTTGGTTGATAAGGTGTGTGTGCAGCTGAGGGTATCTTACCCCCTGGACCTCTGAGTGGAGCTGTAGCAGGCACAGTGAAATTCACCACCACCCTCAGCCCTCCAGGGAGGCCATTCCTGTCCGTTAGCTGGAGTTTTAATGGTACAAAAATCATTACTTCCACCAGTATCAACATCACTGAGCCTGGACACACCAACAGGATCTCGTTAGATCGAACCACTGGGAGCCTGGAGCTCAGACAACTGGTGCTAGGGGACAGCGGGGACTACACGGTCACCATCATAGAAGACGGAGGGTTGCAGAAACAGGGGAAGACCACTCTTAACGTGTATGGTAGGTCTTAGGTGGTAACTGGTCATTTAAATGCTTGTTCTGATTATCCATGTAAAGAAAGTTTCATAGTTCTATAGGCGACATGTTAGGCTATTTGATCACTAATCACTTGTAATAACATCAGCCTATCTCCATTAATATTAGCATTAATTAAGTATTAAGACGGTGAAGACGGTTTTCCAGCCCAAAGAAGTCTAGTTGTGTTTTCTGTTTTCGAGCATTTTTGACTGCACTGACACCTTTTATGAACCACCAGCACTGATAACCGGAGCCACCATCCACAGCCCTGCAGGCGTGCTGATAGAAGACCAAAGCTCCACTAACCTCACCTGTGAGGCCTTCGGCTCCATCAGAACCAGGCTGTGGATGAAAGATGGACGTCCCCTTCATCCCAGTGACAGTGTCAGCTTATTCCTGGATAACAGAACTGTGTATTTACACCCCGTTCGCAGCTCTAGCCATGGCACCTACCAGTGCCATGTCAGCAACCCGGTCAGCACCATGACCGTGACCCTTAACCTCACTGTCAACTGTTAGTATCTGTGCGATGCACACAGAACAGAATTATGATATTTTTAAATGCATTTGGGCAAAAATGATGTATCCTTGACACAGCCTGTCCTTTATATGTCCAGATGGACCACATAACATCTCCATTTTTGGGCCAGGAGCAGCGACAATGGGCCACAAAGTGACACTGCAATGCATGGCGGCCTCTGTCCCACCACCAAACTTCAGCTGGATGTTTAATGGCAACAAGACCCATGTCAACACCTCTGTCTACGTGATAGAGAAATTAGAGGCTAAAAGCATCGGAAATTACACCTGCATTGCCAGAAATTCGGTGACCATGAAGGAAGACTCCGCAGTTCTGAATCTGAAAGGTAAGACGTTAATAATCACACTTGAAACATTTCTTTACTTATGTTTAAATAAGGTGGCTAAGTTGTAGACACTGAGCATTTTCCTCTTTACCCCTTGCAGCCTCCGGGGGTGCCCCCCGCTGGTCATTCTCAGTGCTGGTCATGGGTGGGCTGACTCTGAGTGGACTAATGTAAGAAGAGGCAGACTTTCTCTCCCCAGGGAGGCAAACTTATCTTTATATTTTACCATCACTCCCATATACTTGTCTTCATCTTATTAATCTTATTCGATAAATAAGAAACATTAACTGCTTTTACAAATGATTGTAGTATTAATACTTTCTGTCTTTTTTATATGTTTTTTTTTCCGTGTATTTAGTGAAAATTGCTACATTTCTGAAATATAATCTTGAACAAATCTAAGTTGTCCAAAAGTGTGTATTACTTTCAATACAGAAATGTTAAATACCTGAACCTATTTGACTTTTTTATCAGCAGGACTGGCTATGTTTTTTTAAAGTTTTAAATAAATTTCAGCTTTTTCCACACGTACTGTATGTCTCGCTTCACTGGGTGAGAATATGCCAACTTTTTTCACTTGTCACTGAATAAGGAAACATTAACTATAAATTTCAATTGTTCAGATATTTATTCATAGAAGAAAGTTTTTCTACATATACACAATTCAGATCACTCTTTGATATACATAAGTCAAAGATTCTGAAGACCAATTAAATGGTTTAGCAATCACCATTTATTTCTTCAGATCACTCCAGTCTTTGTTCATAAACCTGTATAGAGGAATGGCTTTTACCTTTAAAGTCTCTTAACGCTAACCTATAAATCATTCCAACATAAAAAGTCACCTTATTCAAATCCTAACTTCTGCCAAAATAATTAGCATATTTATTCTCATTGATGTGCATTTACAGCATTTTTTTGCATCTTCACCCATTAAGTATAAGTATATTCAGGGGTCGGCCGTCTTTGATAAGAGCACATTTTGGGTGCACAGAGAATGCAGAGCTGCTGCCTTGTATCAGACATCTTCCATTTACATGCAGGTAACAAGCTGAATTCAGCCTACTGAAACAAGTCAGGCTTTGCATCCCTGACCTCATTACATTGTTGAACACCTCTAAGTAATTCACCCCGCAACTCTGATTAGTGGTGATAATCACACTTCTGCAAGTGGCGGCTTCTTTCGGGAGGCTTGACAAGAGGTCACTGGTGCCACACTTTGAATGAGTGCGCTGCTCTGCTCCGCACTCCTCTGTCTCATTAACAATGCATCCCAACTTAAATTGCTGAATGTGGCTAGCCGTGCTTCCCACTGACACACTCAATACATTGTGAATTTAGTCTTCACCTTGTGTTATTTGCAACATTCAAAGTAATCAAATATTGATTAAAAAATCAAGTTTTACTATCTTGACTAACCTGTCACCTACATGGAGTAGACTTTTTGTCCTTCCCAACGGTGCAGCTATCTCCATGCTAGTTGACATAAAGCTGGAGGCATATAAACTCCCACAAAGTAATACCAAAAAAATATTAAATTAACTGAAAACTGCACAGGCTCAGCTTGGCTAATCAGCAAGCTACAGATAGGCCAACCAAGTATAAGGTATTACCCTTCATTCTTATCTAACATGTTCCTTAAACACCTCAGAAAGTAAAAAAAATCAATGATCCTGAAGCTAAGAATTATATATCACTGTCCACATTAGATTTTAGTCAAGTTCAATAAAGCCGAACAGTGAGACTGTCTTAACTTCTCTGTAATATTTTGAAGCTTTTAAAGTCTTTACTACATTTATAGAGGAAGTGAAACTAAGTGAAACTAAGGTTTGAAAATTGAATGCTGAATGCAATATATAAATGTGACCACATCTGCCCCTAAAAGCAGCTGACACCGAGTTCCTCTGTCTCTTCTAAGCACTGGTCAAATGTTTATTGCTCTAATTCACCCATACATGTGCATTTATAAACTGCTGCGCTCTGTGAAATTTAGACCGTGCTTCATTGAACCTGAGAGTGTTTCTAAAGGAAAGTCCTATTAATTATACCTGCTCATTTACAAATGGATGTACTATAAGGCAGCCTGGCAGCCTGATCCGAGTCAGACTAAACTCACCTGCAAAGTGAGCACCAGACCGCAGAAGGGAGGTCAAACAGAAACTGCAAGACTCACTGATCTAACTAGCAAACTCACTAGAGAAGCCACTGCATGGCTGTACCATAGACAGCTGTAAGTATGGACTGTACACAGAACAGACCCAAACCACCACATAACAGTGTATGAGACAAACAACCCCTGGCTTTTGATCACCTTTTTGTCTGTCTGACCTCTTTTTTAACTCTTGCTTCCTCATTAATGCTGAACAGTGGGGATGATGTCAGTCTTTTCTGCCACCGTGGAGCTTTACATCTCAAATTTCAAATTGATATCTATCTTTTTTTAATGACAAAGAATTCTGATGTTTTTTTTTTATTAGATTTGTACATTTTTGTCAAAATTTTCTGTATGAGACATTTATAACTGCTAAATGAACATATGTATCACTTTACTCTCCATACTTATTTTCAGGGACAGGAATTAATTCAATAAATTACTAGTAAGACGTTTAGTGACTTTAATTCCAGAAAAAAAGGGGTTTCTTAAACTTTTACAAGTGACACAAAATCACTCTCGTACGAGCCTGATTCCACTCACCACAGGAGTTCACTGTTGATCTTTGACAGTCAGATGACTGACATCGGAAATCTTGCTGACGTCTCCAAACTCAGTCAGTTCGAAGATTATTTGTCTCAGGTCCGTCGTGGAATACCTTTGATCTGGTTTCCGTAAATAAAATAGAGAGAAAATCAGAGAGACGGACAGACACTTCCTGAGCCAGTCGCCCGGGTCTCTCTGTGTTTGCGTGGATATTTGTGAGAACATGGAGACGCTCGAATGCGATTTGCGCCTCCAGACTTTTACTGCGGACATACTTTCTCTTTTGCATATTTATTTTTTTTACTAGAGAGGCTCAGATTTTTTTAACGTCTTCGACTCAGCTTTGAAACGCGTCTCCTTTGTGAATAAACCTGCAGTGACAATGAAAACCGGCAGCAGCTTTTCTCACCGTCTGCTGATGCTGATTTCAATCACTTTAGTCCCAGGTAAACTACTGTTTTTACACCTGTTATCCCTACTTGTGTAGACTTTTTTTCCCCATTTTAACAGTAAATACTTCTGAACATGTTTTACAGTTAGTTTTGATCAGGCTTTATGTGTTCCAGAAGAGAAATATCTAAAAGATTATCAATACAAATAACTTTAAAAGTAACAATAAAAATGGTATGGAAATCGAATTTTTAAGACTGTAAATAAGGATTTTTGTTGCAAAATGACTTCTCATTTTGTACTTCATTTTTGCAGTTCTAAAAGCAGAAGAAGTGACAGGATATGTTGGCAGTGAAGTCACCCTCCCATGCCCCGCAAACCAAGGACCAAACTTTGACAATGTTACACAAGTGCAGTGGGACCTGCTGGGACCAGGAGGGAATAAGACCAGCATCATTGTTTTTAACACACAACATGGGGAGCATAAGCATGAGTCTCCTCTGAAAGAGAGAGTAAAGGTGGACAGGCAATCGTTGACAATAAAGGACGTTGGAGTGGCAGATGCAGGGTTGTACAAATGTGTCCTCACCACGTTTCCCAGTGGTTCATCTCAGAGAATCACCAGACTTGTCGTTCAAGGTGAGTAAGTCTATAGACTTACTGGCAGAAAATACTCTCTTTGTATGCACTCTTTGGTGTTCTCTGTCTTTGGATAATAGTTGATTAAAAATGATCTCAGCATCTAAAAAGGTGTATGAAAACAAACTATTTGGGATCAATGCAGTTATTTAGATATTATTAAGAATGCATTTATGGCTAGAAATATTATGGCAAAACGTCATCAACCCAATTTCACAGGGACCAAACTTGAAAATCATCTCTAGATGTTCTACTGAATGCTTCTTCCAAACATAAACATCCATGTAATGTGATTTTTATTTGATGAACACTATAAAAGTTGTATCAGATATTTGTGATGTTTGAAGAGATGATTTAACAGCTGTGATTTTCCTTTCAGAGCAGAGGCCGTTATCTACAGGAATTGTTTCTGCGATCGTCATTGCCGTCGTTTTGCTGTTTGTGATCCTCTCAGCCACGGCTTACCTCCTCTTCATCAGAAAGTAAGTCTGCACTACTGAAGTTGTGACTGGAATTCCAAGGTTTTATCTTTTAAACCTTCTTTAAAGCTTGGCCTGAATTAGAATAAGCATTAGGGACTATCAAGCTGCATTTCAAAGAGCAATGGTGCTCTGATCTGAAAAAAGAACCTGTCACGTCCACAGTCTTGGCTTTTCTTTTCGAGTTGTAATCACAGCTCTGCTGGTTCTGTCTTGTAGGCATGATCCAGCTGTCAGTTTCCACGTCCAAATAGGTGAGAACAAGCATTCAGCTCTGCCCTGACCCTGTTTCTCATCAGCCCTAGATTTAGTTCCCATTTTGTATTTGTTCTGTTTTTCTGCCTTTCAGACACATCTGGTCAGGTGGCAGGTGCAACCAGGCCATCGTTTATTGTAAAAGAGCCGGTGAGTTCAGCGCAGATGAAAAGATGTGTCCATGTTCTCATTTTAAAAGTTTTTTTTTACGCATTGGCTGTGTCGAATGAGAAAGAAAGATGACGAACTTTCCGGCACTCTTCTTCATAGGAAGTGGTGTATGCTGACGTGAAGCATAAATCATCAAGAGATGGCACTTCATCCAATATCAAACCCAAAGACACTGAACAGGGTCATGAAGTTACATACTCTGAGGTCAAAGTTGTGCGACTACAACTCCAGCGCGATTCCGTCTGCACACATGCCATTTCCAGTTGTTGAAAAAACTATTAAGAAAGACTTCAGTGCCATTGACATACTACATTTGATCCTAATCATCGGCCCCTCAACACAGCATGTTAACAAACTCTTACTTGAACTAACAGAAAACCAACATTCCAGTCTGCATGTGACACATTTGTAGCCTGCAGTTGCCCTATTAAGCCATTTATTGGCTTAATCATGCAACTTTGTCAGGTTTAATGTCTAATGTCATAACACATAATACTTAAAAAATTCATCTGATCCTTACATACAGCCCATTACTCAGTATAATTTGAATAATTCCAAATTAAGAAATTGCTATTCTTTTTAACTAAATGGCAGTGGAAGCCGTTTTAGCAGCAATTACTGGGAGCCATCATTCTTTGTGTACTGTTATTAATTCTGGTACACTTCTTTCCATTTGAATCGGTTTACTGAAATTGCAATTTTCTTTATACAAAATTACACTTCTCTGCGATCACGGCTGATGTCTTTTCTCCGTGGCACATAATTAAACCACTCCTGAACGCTTTGAGCTGCAAACAGCAGCGGTGGGTGGTTGCTTCATGACTTCTTTATTTTCAATGGGAGTAGTCCAGCTGTATTTTTTCCTTTTTTTTTTTTTAAACATCACTTTTGTAAAATCCCAAAGTGTGTAAAAAATCTTTTTTAGATTTTCTTTTGAACATTGGTCAGTATTCTTCACCAAGTTTATCTTTTGTTGACAAAATAATGATCCATTATACTTTCCATGTGGTGTTCCTTGCCCAAGAGGGTTTACCCACAGAGCCCAGATGATTTTCTTGTGTTCTGATGCAAAAAACATCAGAAGTAAACAATGATGCATTTTGTTATTCAAGTCACCGTATGTGATGGAGGGTGACGTCGAGACACGATGTCAGTTTAATTAGCTGATGGCCTGTTTGAGATCTCAGGGTTAGTGTTTGTAAATGCCTTAACAATCTAAGGAAATTGTCAGTTGTGGCCTGTTTTATCAGATTACAGTACCATGGTGAACTGTGGTACTTTCAGAACATGGTTTTTTTAGTCACATATGTACAGTGTCACAAAGAAAAGCAAAAGCCAAATCCTGCTTTGGATGCAACAGTAAAAGTTGTTTTCTTTGTTGCTTTGTCAGTTGATTTTATTTATTTTTTTAGAACTTTTTATCTGTCATTGAATTTTACAGGTTAGATCTAGTTCCCGTTTCTTTATCCATGATTATCAAAAGAGGAAGACCGAAAAAAAGAAGTTAAAAAAAAAACTTCCACATGCAATAACCACTCTCTGACATCAGCCTCAGGAAAACCTCAAATGTCTGTCTGACAAAAGTGGCGACGACAACTTTGTGAGCAAGAGCATAACATTTTTAAGGTTCTCTTGCTCTGTTATCTGTTAAAACATAAGTGAATATGATAAATAAAGACATTTTTCTTATTCTTATTTCCGCAGTTCCACTAAAAGCTCTGATCAAGATCTGTTTTGCAAAGCATTTTCTCAGCGTTCATATCGCAATCCTGTCTGCAGGTGTTGCAAGCTAAGTGTGCCTTATGTAAAAAGGTGACAGAATATTGTTTGCAAAGGTGCAGTAATGTTTAGTGATTGTGCGCACCAACAGCCACTATCACCCGTTGATTTAACGCCAGCATTTCCTGACAATGTGAGTCTGTGGGTGTGAAATATTTAGCCTGCGGCAACTGTCGTGTGTGATAATCCACCACACTGCACTGTCAAGAATATGTGAACAGGAAAATACTTTTTGCTGTATAAACATAAAAAAAATATCATTATTTAATCATTGTGGGGGAAAATCAATGCATTTCAAAAAGTGAGTCCTGCTAACAAAAATGTAAATATGCTATATTTTCTGGAAACTCTCAAAAAACACACTTTTAAATATTTGTAAACGCTGCATGCATCTTCTTTTTCCTTGCTTGTAATTAATGCAAATTAAATGTTTTTCTTTATCTTGATTGGGTTTTTTTTTTTTGGTCGACTATTTTCGGAAGACTTTCGTGCAAACAGGAAGTGAATAAAAAAAGATAAGATAAAGGCTGTTTGAAAGGAGTTTGCAGTTTCCAGTTGGTGAGACACGATACTCGAAACACTGCAAGCTTTTCATTCAAAGGACATGTGATATCTGCACAATTGAAAAATAGACACAGGAACACAAACGTCCATGTAGTCAGATCTTGTTGTACTTAGACAAACAAAGCCATAGACAGCCACGTTAAAAGTTAAAGTTCACGGCTTAACAAATAGAAGAAGACAAAACAAGAATGGCTTGTTTGGAAGGGTTTCAAGGAAAAATATCCTCTGAAGGAACAAGGGAACACAGGTTAGGTTTGCACCTTTTCATCTGAGCAATTTACAAACTTTTTGGAGCATTGTTTTTTGGACACCCGAGACTCAGAGATGTACAATAATAATGGACAGCAGGATTTCAGATTAAACCAAACACAACATTGCAAGCAATATGGGAAATCTTGTGGAAATTTTAAATAAAATATAGAAAATCATCTCATTGAAAAGCTGTATTGGACCTATGAGACAGCGGCACATGACCAAATTCTGCTAATCTCAGTTAACTGAAACAGGGAGTGGGACATAATTTCTTCCAAATTATTTAGAGACCCACAACATCACACAGACAATTATTACATACATTTAAGGCTACTAAAGGTAATTCAAAATGACATAAAGTCACATGCTGCCTCTACATTTTGGTTTGTCCTTGATCAAACCCGGACGGTCCCATTTTTATTTAGTCCTTAATATCAGAACTGTGAGCTATGCTATGATCTAGAGCAGTGAAATATAAGCAATGTGTAAAATAAGGAGGATTATTTAATAAAATTGCATCTTCTTGTATTATAATGTGCAATTGACTGGTTTATCATGGGACTCAACAGCCATCGCAGCAACGCAGCTAATGTGAGAAGCCACTTGGCCCTCCTTCAGACTTCTGTAGCCACATCAGAGTACTGACAGTTTGCATTTGAGGTGATACCTCTGTTGTTTTCATGACACATGAACACAGCTAACTGAACTAACTCCACATAACCCCCCAGCTTCTCATCGTCTTTGCTCTTGATGTTTCAGTGACTTTAGCTTACAACATTTATCCCCTCAGCCTTCCTCTCTACTCTGTCGATCACCCTAATATCTGCCCCTGTGATCATGCGGTGGTCCCTCTAGCCTCTATTGCTCTTGAAAACATTTCCCATTCAGACCAGCCTTTTCTGCCCACTGGTTGGAGTTCTTAAAATCAGACAGTTATCATTACTTATGTTTGTATTTCTAGATGTGTGCAGAAATTGGCCAATATTTATTTTTTAACTATGTTATTGCTTTGCTTGGATGTTTGGTATAATTTCCTTGTTCAGTGACTAATTAGAATCTAAATCCTATATTTAGGATCAACCAGAGGAAAAACAGTATAATTGAACATGTCAGTAGGTGTGAGCTGGGGGAACAATTATGTGAAAAAGAGTTTTGATGCATTTTGAATGGGACATTAGATTTAATTTGCTGTTAGTTGTATGCTGCAGCTCAGTAAGCTTTCGGTAACTTGTAAGCCTAATATTTATGTTCATTTAACATGCCAGTACTATTCAAAATGTGAGAAAAATGTGATTCAATTTTCACTGATCTCAAACCTAAATACAGCTTGTGACATCCTGCTGCATTTAAATACATTTCCACAGGGCTTTTTTGTGGAAAAACTCAAGGAAATGAACTCCCATAATTTAGACTTGAGGAAGCTCTGCCCTGATAAAGGAGTGATAGCAAAGAACATATGGGGAGCCAAAACTCATTAAGTGAGTTTTTACTTGAAACGTCTTTCTAAACCTGAACAAAAGGTACTTTTCTTCACCTTCTATAATGCAACACCTGAAACCATAACGCAGATGATTAAAGCTTAACAAGAACACCTTCTGTGCATGTTTACAAAGAGTGTGGGAGGGCTGCGTACAGAGGAAAGAAAGATTCCACCCACCAAATGTTTGCTTAATTTGGTCGATTTCGGTTAACCGACATGTTAGAAGCAGTAGCAAGTAGCAATGCAACATTACGCCTTCTGTGCAGTAACAAACTGAAGTGTTTCAACATTTTACAGAAATGCACGAGGCTCCTTTGTGATGTGATAGGGTGTAAAAGGTTTTTGGGATGAGAGGTTTGCTGTTTTCACCATGATCAAAATGTGGTGAGAGAATCAGCATGTTTGAGTTTTGTTTAGTCATTTGACATGGCGAAAACGTGATTATTGTTATTCCTCATATGACCACCTGGATTCGCTGTTTCTCATAATTGAAATAGACTTTGAAGGGGTGTGTGTATGGTTTCAGGGTGCTTGAAGTCTGATCAATCAAGTATGCACACAAGAAGCCCCAAAACTGTTCAGATCTTGATCTATTAGTATGATGTTTATCTAGTGAATGATGGCTTCTCACATGAATACATTCGAATCACATCCCAATTGAGGATCTGAATAAAGCTCATCTGAAAATGTTAAAACAATGCAGAACAATAGATGAATTCTTCTGTTTGGGCTGAAAAATATATATCACATGTTTTTGTTTGAACATTATACACTAAAAGTCTTATTTATACACAGAGAAAACTTTGGAAATCGGGCCGCCGTTGTGAACAAATTATTTTGGCGAAACTGACAAATATGGGGTTTCAGTCATGCGTGTCTGCACTGGTGAGTTCCCATTCTTCTTATTCCTCTTTTAAAGCATTTTGGTTTCTTTCAGTTCTTCGCACAACAGCTGGCACTCCACAAAAGGTTACAGAAAAAACCACGAAAGCTCAAAGCTTGATTGAAAGTATAGCCTTTTGTTCTGGTTCATCATCACATTATCTTGAATTGTAAAACGCTCCTTCTGTTTTAGAAATAAATTAACTTGATGAGAATAATATAGGTTAACATGATACTGAATCCCACATGCTGTTGATATTACGGTAATTGTGAGTGATGTAATAATGAATTTCTCTCTGGGTGCGAGCTCTTTTTCCAGTGGTGTGAGCCATTTAATCATCATGCCTTGGCTTACTAAACTCATCCCATCTTCACAGCTTTCAAAAAACTATTTTCTTCCTATGAACCAATGCTAGTTTGTATTTTTCCAAAAGCCATCAAATTGTTCAGTATTTTCACTTTCCTCAAACTGGTTATGAATATAAATCTGTCTAAATAGGTAATAAATGTTGTGATGTAAATATATGTTAAAATGGTCTGATTGGAGAGAATGTTTCAATCTAACAAAAAAATACTTCTATGATTAGCCAAATTAATTAATCAAAAATATCTGCAGGCTTAAGTTGGCTGTGACAGCTTTTTTTCTTTTGACAACAATACCATCATTTGACCACACAATGTCACTGTTGCACTGAAGCTGCTGCTTTAGTTTAGCTGTCTCAAGTTGGGAGAACCACCGGCCCGTCGTTTCACCAAGACTTTGACTACAATTTTTTTTTTAATAAATAAAATCCTGCTGAGGATGATGATGTAATTTTTAATCAATGTTGTAAGAGGATCATCTCAGGTGCAATCAGGTGAACAACGGGTGGCTTACATCGCCTTCACAGGATCAGTGTGCAGACATACCACATAACCAC